TGAAGATAAATAAACCACAAATTTTTATGTAAACTAAAATATTTTCAAAGATAAATATCTTTCGTCTTTTACAAAATATAATAATAATTTCATTGTTCGTATTATATATCTTAAAAAATCTGTAAAACTGTTTACATAAAAATATGCAGTCTGTCAATCAAGGAGTTATGTTTGAGGCTCGCGTTTTCTAATCATTTTCGGTTTGGGGCTAACTACGTGTCGATGCATAGAAACTTGATTCGCTGATTTACGAGAAAAATCAAGTTCTATGCATCGATTACTAAAGTATTTCGATCAGCCGCGACGCAGACGCACTCTTATGAAATCTCGATACATAGATATAAGCTTTCGCGTGTCTCTTGTGTGTGTTTCTGTGTGTGAGCATGCAGAGGCGGTTATCTCTTCGAATTTGCGTACACAACGAACGCACAGACGTCAACGTGGCAGCTCAACAATTTGTACACTGAAGTTAGACATCAGGATTAAATTTAATCAAATCAATCTCGAGGATTTAGTTAACAAAAAAATTCTACAAATACAAATGAATGGATTAAGAAAATTGCACAGCTGACGCCTCTACAACGGGTTGGACAACAGGAAACGCCGAGTACATTGATATAATACAAGATTGACAAGTACGATTTACGGACATAAATAATGGGGAGAATTTCGACAGAGAAAGGCTGGCAACACAGAAAGCTATCCGATGGGTTAAGCTTCGGTGAAACACTTATATAAATACGTATACATGAATATCTTGATCTTGGAAGTTACATTTATCGCTTCATTCTTTTCTTCTTATCACTTTATGCATACGTACATATAATAATGTGTTAATTCCATCAATTCATATTTATCAAAATGACAAGAACGTTTTCATTGAAAACATGTAGAAGAATGTCTTAATTGTTGTAATATAATTTGAAATATTTGATGACAAAGTGAAAGAAGAAGAACGAACATCCGAGTCGAATGTGCCTACGGTCGCGGCCAAAGTCTACCTACGTTCTATCGATGGGCTCGAGACGCTTCGAAACAGAGCTAGAAATTCATATTCGAACCAATACTATTGAAACTTGATTAAAGAATTGGACGTATCGTAAATTTTTCACAATGAGATTCGTTGCAATCATTATTATAATTAATAGAATAAATAATCGAAGAGTTCTCGGCTACGTGAACCCATCCATCGGCTACGTTCTATGTAATTAAGTGTATAAATATGCGAAGTGTTAAATTACCAACAGAAAAGATAAGGTGCATAAGGCTTTTTTTAGTACCGTCGAATGAGTAGGCGGTAACATGAAACCAATGAAATAGCATTGACAATAAACGGCCGAGTATCTCGATGGAAATCTCCTGGTCCGGGGTGCAAAGCCCGACCAGCAGCCAGACACCGTATCTCCCTAGAAGCTGCCTCTCCTCGAGGCTGGCAGAGTCGAATTGGCTACCGGAACCGGCACCCCCGCCGCTCCCGCCGCCACCGCTACCGCTCCCTGGGAATCCTGAGCTGCCCTTATTAGTACTTATTTCCGAGTTGTCTCGGTTACTATCCATACTTAGCGGTTCAGCTTCCTTAAGCAGGCTGCAAGCAGAGACGGATCGTGGTCAGTGGGATGACGGACGCGATCCCCGGCCGCGTCCGATTGTGGTCGCATTCTTGTGACCGCAATTTTTCGAGCATGAATTTTGAAAGAGATCTTCACTTTTTTACAATCGACATTCTCCATGACAAGTAGTCGCTTGAAATCGCAATTTATAGACAATATCAAATATAATATTATTAAGTATTATTTATTTTATCAGCCAATTGCAAATTATGCTTAATATACTTCATCAAGTCGTTGAAAGTTCTTGAAAAATAGTAGCAAGTGTTAGAATGATATAATGGATCGATAATATTTGAAACAATGGCAAAATTTTAATTATGTTAAATATGAATATGTTAAATACGTAATTAATTAATAAATTAAATAATCAATTTATTGATAATATTATAGAATTCGTAAGATCCAATATGTCACTCATTGATAATGTTGAATTCTTAATTTATTTAAGACATTGAATATTGAATTCCTTAATAATACATTTCCCAATTTACATTTGAAATTTCTTCTCAGCGATTTAAGACGACCAATCAAACGAAATAGCATCGAACGTCGAAGAATCGCAGTTTCCACGTTCAATGGTGGTTTGAATTCTTTCACGATCACCCTCAGCAACGTTTCACAGATCATTTGACAATCTGAATCATACTTAATTATTTTACAATAGTAATAAAATCGTGAAAAAATCCAGCAAGTTTTATATTAGATAAATAGACAATGTCGATCAATAATTCAATCATGTTGCTGAAAAATATAAAATATTCAAAACCTGATCGTTTCGTAACATGTCGACCACAAAGTTTATTTGATCAGACGCGACTTCGGATCGTGATTACAATTACGATTACATTAGAAGAAGTTAGTAGGAAGAAATGAAATCTTTCAGATGAATATTCAAAGAGAATTCGTATTTCAATCGTTCTGTGTTCTGCGTTTTAAGTGAGGAATCATGCTAGTTGCAGTTGTGACTACGTGTAACGTGTTCATTAAAAATTGATTGTGAAAGTCAACTGATAGACGTCAATAGAATAAATAAAAAAGAGATTCTAGAATTCGTTAGAGAAATCAGTCTTTTGCAGAGTTCTATCAGAAGATACGTAAAAGTGAAACTCTGTTAATTTTAGAGTGAAATAATCAGGAAAACAGAAAGGAATAAATATTTGTGATTAGTGTTCCGTTAGCCATGAGTCCCATGTTCATGCAGCATACCAGTGTGTCTCGCTTTTTGTTGGGGGAACGGTACCGGGTGTGCAGTGCTGGTGTTTCGTATCCAGGACGTGAATACAGCGCGGTGTCCTCGCATTGCAACTTTTAAGGTGCGCTTTTCCTATATGCCTCTACCGTGAGCCAGAATGTGGTTCGTAGTCACGTGTATGTCTTTCTCTCGCTGGCTTGAAAAACTTGTCCAGCTAGCCAGTCATCCGGCCTCAAACGTCTCTCTCATATTTATCCTCCAATTACAGTTCTAATGTTCTACTTTCGATTAAATCGTTTCAACAATTGTCAGATTGAAAAATAGTTTATCAGTGCGCGGATTTTGAGAGACCTTTGAAGCCTGGGAGCGATAGCGTGGCCACGGATCGAGATGCACGCGACGTGACTGATAAATACATTAATTAAGGGCTTGAAACGTTGATTTAATTAAAGGGAAGGAAACACAAATTGTAAAAATTTTTTTATTCCGATATAAGTATTAATCGATACTTATAACTGGACTACAGTATAAGAAAGAATAGTAAGTTCACTCTGTCAAAAAGTGTACTAATAATTGACTGAAATATTTCTTGCATGGACGAAGGTTTTGCAATAAACAATTTTATTTATTAATTAATTATTGACGTTAGCGAAAAAAGTTTAATACAGTAATTGGGTGTTTAACGAGTTTAGTATGGATAGATGAAGATCACATTCCATTTAATGAATTTAAGAACATAATTCCATAAATGAATAATTCAATATTATAATAGAAATGAATAGGACTCTTGTTTTAAGTTGTATTACGACCGCATGCATCTCGTCCGTTTCTGAATATTTGGAAACCATAATATGGAGCATATTGATTAACCACGTTTAATGGAACTTTATCATTATAGAATTCAATTGATTTAATGAAATTTGATATTTCCATTGAACGTGATTAGAGCAAACTGTCTTACCAAGCGGGATGGACCAGCACGAACAAAACACGCAAAGCAACAATGATCCTGTGATCATTCGTTAGTATACGCGTCGCGTCGTTGCGTTTCTTTCAACTGACAACCATATTTTCAATTGCGACCTGTTACCACTAAAAGTAAAATCCGAATCTGTTAACCCTTTCCCTTCATCGACGATGTATTTTAAATTTCAACGTGAATTACTATTATTGCATATATTTTTTAATCTGTTTCTGCTAATAGAATTCTTAGTAAACGTTTAGTAAATAAAATATGACATTATTGTAGTTTGTTCGAGAAAGAAAGGGTTAATTCATTCGCTACCTAAGATNGTAAATATGTACTAGAACTTATAAACGAGGATATATACACGAGTACATATGCGACTATGATACGCAATGACGATACGCGCCGGTGACACGACACGAGGATATGACACAAGTGGATGCCTACCTTTAACGATTATGGAATCGTGTCAGAAATGAAGCTCACCTGACGATCGCCTGGATCATATACGTCTGCGTTTGCGAATCCATCTTCGAGATATGCGGCAGGGCCGTGTGATAGACATGATCGCCTCCTCGACGCTTGTTATGCCGAATATTATGGCACTGCTCGCAGTAACGAATCGGATGATTCCCGTTGTAACTCGCGCATTCCGTCGAGAAACAGACACTTATCGCTGACTTGTCCGTCGCTCTGCAGTTCTGATATATTTTAAATCAATTCTTAATTTCTTAACGCCATCCAATCGTCATTTGAAAATTATGGAATTAATTTTATGTATTATTGCTCATTATTTTTCAATGGAAAATGTCGATTTTTAACTTACTTATAAGATACTCGTCGTTGCACCGGGGCGATGTATACTTTAAAACTCACCTTGTTTTCGCATACCATTGACACCTGTTGCATAGGATGCAAAATGTCGTAGAACATATTTGGATGCGTCCTATGTATCTCGTTGGCGCATTCGATACAAAGATACAAGGGTGGCGGTGTCTCATTCGCGAACGTGATAGAAATTCGATGGTCATAGCAAACTTTGCCAGCCTCCGCGTTGCCAGCGTTAGGACAAGAGTCTCTCTGACAGACGAACGGTGTCAAATCATCTGTAACAATTATTCATCATGTGCAATAAAAATGACTCCGTTTTTGTTTCTTAAATCAATTCTGACTACTGAAGCTAAATTTCTTATAAAAGCATAAAATCCACGTAGCAGAAATCGTTCAGGGAGACGTACTCGCGAATTTCATTAAGACTGCCCGACGGTCGAAGAGATTAGGGTTGAAGGATGGCCAGTAGTAGAACAACAATTTAGCAGCCGACGCTCTTGCCGGTGCCGTGCCGTAAGCAATCACGCAAAGAAGGTCCTTTACAACACCTGGTTTCAACGCCATCAAGCATTCCAACAGCTGACAATGATGTGCTGGAAAAAATATATTAAATAACACTTTCCTAACTCACACATCGCTCCATTAAGAATGAATATTATTTATGTTTTTTTTATTGGGACCTGGATTGCTGGAGTATTGGAAAATCATCATGATGACCGCGGCTATCGACTGACTTGCTGCGTTTTCCGAGCCGTCCTCAGTTTTTCTTGCTACGG